CCCCCCCCCCCCCCCCCCCCCCTACGGCTCGAAGCCCTCCCCCCCAAGGCTTTGCCTGCCAAAGCCCTCGGAGCTCTGCTGCCATTTCTCGGCCAGATACTGTACCAACCTATCTATACCCTTCTGTATCTATTGACTGCTGACTTACTGTGAAATTGCTTGCATTGATGCTTGTTGAAATTCTGTCCATCGCAATCTACTAAGGTACTAAGCATCATCAATTAAGGAAGCATCGGGGGGTTTGGAGTTTGGAGCAGTGGGCAACCTGACATCGCTTCAACATGGTGGGACTGCTGCGTGGGCTCCAAGGATTTTGTTTCACACTTGTGAAGTTTGCACGCCCGGAAGAAGCGAAACCATGTCTTTTCGGGAGACTCCCACGGACAGAGACGAGGCCGGGAACAGCTGTTTGGCAGGGCTGAGTTCAATTCCAATCCTGAGGTTCCATCGGTGAATCTTACGTAAGTAGGAGACATTGGCGGCCTTCCTGGTCCCTGCTATGGAGCACGGGCTACATGCGTGATACGTGCATGCCATGCCCTGTTGGTTTGTGTATGACAGAATCAAGGCTCTCACACGCAGTAGCAGGGGTGCCACATGAGTGATCTTTTCGGGTCTGTCGTCGAATTGACCAGCTCCTTTTGTGACGTGCTAGATCCGAAACCGACTCAAACCCCAAGCAGGACGCCCAGGGTGGTGCCTCATATCATTGAAAATGGGGCTGGGAGGCTTCAGAGGAGCCTTCCGACAGTGAAGATGAGTTCACACGGAGAGCGAGGCGCATGGTTTCCAGGCCGGGTGCTGATCGCGAGCAGGGGCTTGGGGCTCTGGCTTCCGGATTGAAGGCTCAGAGGCTTAGTCTCAGGGCTTCGAGGTTTGTGTTGAGGCATCTTGTCATGAACGCTAGTTGGGTTCCGTGTTCTGTGATTTTGATGAAGAGGTTGCTTGCGCGGATTCTGGGAAGGGTCTCATAATGTAATGGGAGAACGGCCTATGGCATGCCTATGACCGTGAAGATTGCGTGCAAGCTTCAGTCCAAAGCTGTTGCAGAACCCGGACATCTCCGACCTGATCCCTTGACCTGGCATAGCCTGCATACCTGAGTTGTAGGTCTGAAGACAGACCAAAGTCTGAAGACAGACCAAGCCTGAAGGTGGTCCGGTGAGCGACAGGCTGTGCCTAGCAGAGAGGCGTGGCCTGAGAACTTGCCTGCATGCCGACAGTGCAGAGGGCTGCTTATCGAGGGAAGTACATGTAGGAACCATTCTGGGCAAATAGATAGTCACTGTTCCGTCAAGACGGTACGGAGGAGTGCTCGTTCAGTTCTTAGCATTCAGTTGTCTTTGCCGACGTGGTGAGGCACCGGTGATGGAACTGGCATAATTACATGTTTTCCACAGAGATGGAGACCGTGTGTTGCGCATTCGTTTAGTCAAGCTGAAGCCGGTGCGATGCAAAGCCCTGGTTCTAGAATGAGACTTGGATGTGACAGTCGCTGCAAGTCTCACCGTCAGTGATGGTGATGGCAATGACCTTGACCTTGATCCCGATCCTGATCATGGTCGCTATCTACAACATCATTGTGATCATGATGATGATCATCACCACCATCACCATCATCAGCAGCAGCATCGTCATCGTCATCATCTCTTTCATCATTATCATGACCATCATTAGAACCATCATTCTCAGCACCATCGGCAGACGGCACCTTTCATTGGCATATATGCATATTTAACCGAGGCTAAATGCCGGTATTCTAATACCTTGACGGTACACTGCAAGCCCTCGAATTCTGTGCATGTGGTGTTGAGGCAATTTCAGCAGAAACCTGCAAAGGCCTCCCACCCACACTGGATTAGCTATTCTCTGCAGGCGCTCGTAGGCCGCGTGCAGACTCGCGAGACGAGCGGCCCTAGGCTTGCGCTGCAAGCAGTGCTTTTGTCTCAGGCAAGGGAGTTTGAGGTGCTAGGCTTTAATCTGGGCTCTGTTTGTTCGGCTTTGGTGTTCAAGACTTCTTCAGGCTGAGTCCTTCTGAGGTATATAAGGACTTGTGAGGCAGCACGGTTACGATGTAGTGTTTTTTGACCTCGTGCTGCAGATCTAGTGTAGTCAGTCTACCGTTTTCGCTTAAAAGCTTCTACTACTTCGAACTCCGAGTCAGGGAGACTAGAGCAACGGGTGATGCTTGTGGGCCATACATTCAATTTACTTTTCTCTTGAAACCTGATGCTTTTGCGCAACTCCAAGTTTTTTGGGCAAGTGGATTAAGAAACCTCAAACGGAAGCTCTCCCGCTACCGCGGCCAGGGGCCGAGTGCAGGTCCTCGGCAGTCACATCCTGGAGCCTCAGCGAGAGGCGAGCTTCGCCTTGTCAAACGGGCCGCAGGATCTTTCGGAACTGGGCTGCGAAGGCTTGGAGGATGTAGATGCTTCTGAACTGAATGCATCAATTGCCGAAGCAGAATCAGGTTGCTCGTGTTTCGTGAGTTGCGGTTTAGTTTAAAGTTTGACGAGTCCCATGTCCGAGATGCCAAGCAGTGCCATGATGAAGTGTTCTGAGCTTGACGTTGGCAAGACACACACTGCGGCTGAACGACGGGCTGCGTGCGTTGACACAAGTACGAAGCACCGCCGATGTCTAGATTGCGTGCTGATCTACAGGAGCCATGTGTAGTGAACATCTGAAGATGCACTACACCCTGAAGGCTCACTTCCGGGCGCACAGGCCCACAGAACGCTAGGACGTTAACCGCCGCCGGGAAATGCCATGGCAGGTTCCCATCATGGACCGTTGCCAGGTCTTGCTTGTTGGCGCAGGTCCTGCAGGCTCACGCCTAAAACAGCAAGCCGAGTAAAGCTTTCGTTTTTCGGATATGGGGGCTTCGTGTTCAATTTATGGTTTTGATGGTGCCGGCTTCCAAACACAATCCTGGAGCCTGCAACCTTGCTAAGGCTGCTAAGGCTACATTGTTTAAAAAAAATATAAGCCCAGTAGCAAACTAAGCAATGCTTCCAAACCGGAAATCTCAAATGTCTCTGTTCTATGCCCAAAGCCCTATGGATCTACACGTTGGGTACCACACGCTATGTATGTATGTATGTATGTATGTATGTATGTATGTATGTATGTTTGCATGTATGCATGTACGTATGAGAAAGGTATGTATGCCTGACAATGTCCAAAAGTCGTTCGTGCGGTTTCAACAAATGGACAACAGCCTGGAGCGTTTAATCCAATTGCACCACCGAGCCCCTCTGCAAAAAGTACGCTCTAGCCAACCGATCGTCAACCCGAAACCTTTCAAATCAGCTATTTCAAAACCGGAGCCTTGCACCGCCCCCTCAACTTCTGAAACCTTCTTGTATCTATACCAGGCGATTCAAAAACGAGCTGACTGCAAGCCAGGGCTCTCGGCGGCGATCGGCGCGCGCCGTGCCGGCGCGGATGTGGTTCTCCTCGAGCGGTACGGCTGCTTCGGAGGCCCGGTCCTTGAGGGTCGTTTCTTGCTTTGACATGGAGACCAACCAGACGCTGTCTTGGAGTTGATTGGGCCCTTCAGAGAGGGGCTTGTCTGGAGGTTCTCCACTTGTTCTGGTGCAGGTAGTTGTTAATTCAGCGGTTTGGCGATCAAGATGCAATTACGGCTTCATTTTGGGACTGCGAAGGTTTGGATTGTGCAGTAGCCTGCAACCGTCAACCTGAAGCTTGAATCAAGAAACCCAAAACCGCGAAGCTCAGGTGCCCAGTGTCCCAATCCCTCAGCCAAACTGGTGTTCTGGAGATTAGCAGCTGACGGAGAAGAGGGCATACAGAAGAACCGAAACTTGAAACCTTGTCCTCTAAGGCACCATCACCACAGTGGGCATGGAGACCCTGGGATGGTACAGATATGTCGCTTTGCGGCATGGGGGATGGGCGGTGTTGCTCGGAGTAGCAAGCTTGGCTTGAAAGGTTTTCGATCCCCGACCGGAGCACGCAGCTGTAGCGTTGCGGGGAAGATTTCCGGTTTTGTGCTTGATGGATTCAGAAGTGCCCTTGCACTGTTTGGTTCTGCAGAACTACCAGGGCTCGTTTCGTAAGCCGGTCCAAAATTAAGATTTATCCGAGTCTGCACTTGGCACATGTCACGCACTTGAAAGGGAAACCGAGTGGCACACAATCCTCTTGGGTCTTTGGCCTCCACCTTAGGTACATGCATTCGGTCAGGACCACTGAGAACGCAGCACCCTCTCAAAGCAAAGCCCACCTTTGCAAGTCCCTCAGGAAGGCACGCAAGATTGTGAGGGCATTGGCCGCGAGATGGAGCGAGTGGCGGAACGACACCTTGGCCCGCTTTAATCGCAGGAGTTTGAGGGAGTGCGGGTTCGTGCCACGAGGCCCCAAGCTGCTTTGACAAAACCCCAGCCCTGGATTCAACATTCGAGTTTGCATACACAGCAGGATTGGTCGGTTATCGTGTTCACCTGACTAGAGTTGCGGATTCGAGACTCACGTCGCTTGTCAAGTAAGCAGAGACCAGAAGGCTACATGGAACAGCAAGCCCGAAAAGTCAGTTTGTAGACCCGGAGAGCGATTCCTGGTCCCGCCTGTCCAGGAATGGGAGGCACCACGAAGAATCCCGGCAGAAACTAGAAGCTATGAGTTCAGGATTCGAGTCTTGGGATTTCCGATGTCGAAGCCGGCAATGTGGTCAGGACTTTTGAGCACGGGTTTTTGGGGCCTGGGGGCTCGGAGTTTCATTAGCAGTGCACTAACATAGCCGAGAGTTGTCAAGATTGGGGCCTCCACCTGCTGGAGCGATCTGTGCTTCATGCAGAGATCCTTCAAGAGCTCGAACATCTGCAAGCCCTCAAACCTTCAGCATGCCCATGTTTCCTCTAATCTCAGTCATCTCGACTGGCTTCAGAGACCTCGAGCTTGACAAGGGTTTTCGTTTAGATGTGGATTTACATAGGTCTCTGGGGTGAACCCGGATGGGCCTGGAGCCTCCAGCTTTCCGTCTGCTGTGACCTTATTGCACGATGTGTCCCCTGACTGCAGGTGGCCCTACAACGATTCAGACTGCCTTGACGCTGCAGCTCAGCTCTGACTGTAACATCGGCTTCGGATTTACAATGGCAACAGAGAGAGGTGTAGAGTGGACAAGGAAGTTCCTCAAACTTCAAAGTTCAGGACTAATGCCCGAACCATGAGGCGGTCAAAGACTGCGGATGCATTTTTCCAAGGAGAAGTTTAAGCTCGTGGCAGACAACTTGATCCAGGACTTGAGCTAGATGCTCCTCCCAGCACCAAGCTGCAGGCTGCTTTGCGCTCCTTCCTCTTGCTCTAGGGCTGCTGCGGCTGCTGTCAGTATTTTTCCTTTGTTTTTGTCGATTTTGTCTTCTACACCGCAGGAGTCCGGTGTCCGGCCGATCCTGCACATTTGGGTGGTGGAGGCTCTTGACCATGCAGGGTTAGGCCTGTCGGAATAGCACTATTATACGACGAGCAGAGCCTTGCTTTCTGAGCCTTCATGTCGCGATTCTGTGTGCGCGAACACCCGAACCTCAACCTAATCGCCTCGAACTGGCGTTGGTGGTTTGGGGCTTGATGCGAGCCATCTTTACAGAACCTTGAGCCATCATATGCCGAGATGTCCAGGCCCTCCTTAACTCCAACAACGAGATCTATGGCGTGCTGACTGAGTCTAAGTCTGGCCGACACTTGCAAAAAGATGCAATGCTGGCAATGCTTTTGAAGGGCTTCTTTTTGCAGCTTTGAACAGTAGCTTGCAAGAGCCAGACACGGAGCTTGAATCATCAAGTTCTCCTGAATCTGTTACGTAATCCCAAAGAACTTTCAACCCCAAGGCCTCAACTGTAGACCCGAACAAGGCAAAATTCAGACGCCACCGACCACGCGTCCGCAAGGAAACGCTATTCTAGCCGAGCGCATCATCGACTGCACAGGCAGGGCGGCAGCGGTTTTAGGATGCAGGTGCAGCGCCTGGCATCCATACAGGGGCCCAGGCACGGGTGTTAATTTATTATGAGTTCAGGGAGCATGTCTTGAGGCCTGGAATCTTGACAACATGCTGGCATACTGGAGGTTCTTCATCATTCAGCGGAGTATCTACATTTTCGGAGCAGTTTTGAAGAGGGCTTCTTGGGTTTATGCTGACAGATCCAATTTGAGACAATCGGCCGCGGCTTGGCAGTTTGTTTTATGGTCTTGGGAATACCATGCACACCACCTGAACAGCCAAACTTCGTTCTACCCTGAAGCGTGTTGTTTCATCCTGTAAGTCAAACTTTCCTTAAACCCGTTACTCTAAACCAAGCCCGGAGGATGTCGCGGGTCAGGTCTCCTCTATTGTGTGATGTTTAATAGGAGCTGGCTCATCAAGCAACTCACCATTATGGCGTTCTGTGCTTGGAGTAATCCACTATTACTACTGCTTTGTGGTCTGGTTGAATTATGCTGAGTTAGGTGATGCCGATGTGGCGCACCTGGCGGGCTGCCCGTGTCTGCGGCTGAATTTTGGGAAGGTTTGGGATCGGGATGAGGAGGCTTGCTCATTCAAGGTTGAAGATTTAGGGCATGAGACTGTTATGACTTCCGTTCTGCACCTTTCCGGACTGAGGGTCTCGCTGAGTTTTGTGGCCCCCGAGGTCTCCGAGACCTCGGCGTACCCTCTTGGTGTTTGACCTCGATGGATACTACAGTACTACTACCGTTTCTCTACGAGCCCTTGTATGCTCAGCATAAAAATGATTTATGATTGCCGTATTCAAACATCCCCAAGCCCAGACGGTAGCTCGGCACGTCTCCTAGCTCAGGGCTTGGAGTGCAGCGCCTCAACCTTGGAGTTCAGGCTTCACTGCAGTCCTTACGGTTCTTCTTCGTCTGATGCTTTTCACCCACTACTAAGCTGCGACCATTCGTCTTACTTTTCTTCATGTTATCATTCTGGCTTAGTGTCACTAGCAGTAGCATCTAATTGGTATATGATGATGTTTCGGTTTATTGGACACAAGGCATGGTTCGTAATTCTGTTCAACTCTCCCTTTCTGCTGCCGCCACTTTCGGCTCATTGTATGAGCAACCAGCCCCCAAGGTACTCCGTGATTGATGTCAACAACTCTCTTGGCGTGACAACGGTATCTGGGAAGCATCCCGCAGGGCTTCCGGCAGCTGAGGTTTAGCAGGAACAGATCACCTTTGAGTCTTTGTTTGAACTCTCTAGGATGGCTGCCAGTCGCAGAAACTATGCCTTTTACCGCTGCACGGGAAGCCAACCTATCGCTGATAAAGAATCGAGTTTCAGGTTGAAGTCTTGAGGGCAATGTCCCTGCCAGATGCTGCTGTGCTGTGAGACTAGTTACTGCATTCGCCCTCAGACTCACAGAACCAGCCTAAACAAAAGATGCAGCACGTAGGGCATTCAGAGCCCGGCCTGGGGTTCGGGATGTCAATCAGAAGAAATATGCCCCAAAGCCCAAGCCCTGCCAGTGGTTCCACAGACATCCTACTCTAGATACTTGAGCCCTGAGCAGAAACTTCCACCTCAGCCAAGCAGCCCTCGACGAGCTTTGCTCGTGGTATCTAGGTTTTCAATGCTGTCAACATTGACGTTCCAAAGTTCAGGGAGTACACATCGCAGACGCTTGGAAGCGATAGGAGACGTTGGCGAGCTAGGTGTTGTTGCTACGGTGGTGGAAGATTCGGAACGGCATTGGAGGCTTGCGGGTGTGAGATCGAGGACAGTCCCGTCAGGGCGAAGGCTCAAGGCTAGGGATTCTCGGTTTCAGGTCGCGGAGTCGCCGGGTTCAAAGATTTGGCGTCAGATGTTTTACGATCTCCCTCGGTCTCTCGCCCTCGCTCCTACTCTGTCTCTCTATCTTTCTCTATCTCTTCTGTTTCTTGCAAGTTACATAACTCCTGCCTAACAGCCGTTCTTAAAGCCTGTTTTCAGGAGGAGCAAGGACCCAAGCGGATAGACAAGGCCAAGACATTGCAAAAAACCTCCCCAAGACTTCCCGACAACCGTGAAAGCCAAAAAGCCTCAGCCCTCAACCTTAATCTTAAACCCGAATCAACTGACAGAGCCCTAGCTTTGTGGCGGAAAGGAACCCGGCGACCTACAAGGACTGGAGTCGGACCTGGGAGCAGACAACATCGGGCAAGGAGGCACCTTGAAGGGGCTGATGGAGCTGGGGGCTTGGGTTTCGACTCGGAGAAGGGCGAAGATGGAGGGTTCGTTTTGGAGCTTGGGATGCTTCTGGTAATTGGTCTTTAGTTTGGGACATGTCGGATTTGTACTTTGCAGCTGGGCTGGGATTGGGCATGCGAAGACGGCCCGGCTTTCGTGGGAAGCCGAACAACTCGATGAGGGACGTACGCCCGCCAGCTGCGGGAGATGACAGGCTGGCTGCAGTATTCTGTGCTGGTCCAAGGATGCAAATTTGCGAGCCAGTCCAAGAGTGGGTTTGAACCTCAATGGGCGTAAGGGTCGCTGTTTGCCATGGCGTGGTGTTCATGTTTCTCCTGCATGTCCCCCATTTCCAACCCCGCACTCCGCCGAGCTGCTGACTGACATGCTCTGTTAATTTCTTGATCTTTGAGGACTAGAGACCTGGAACCCCTCAGATCCCCAAACCTGCGTTGCAGGAGCACCTCAAATCCCCTTATTTGGACCGCGAGTTCGAGAAGGCTGCGGAGGCAACTGGAGCAACAGCCCCTCAACCCGACCTCGTTGACTTGTAGGGTTGGCCGATTTTGGATTTGGATAATTACAACGAGCAAGTAAAACCTTGAACCCAGACGCCACAAAGCAGCTTGGACCCCAATCCGACGCATGAGCACTGGTGTCAGCTAGAGTCGGTGCAATCCAGCTGTCACGAGGATCGTGGCCAGACTGCGTGAGGGCAGGTTTAGGACTCAACTTAGAACCCTGAGCCCCGCTTCTTGCACGACTGCGCCTGGAATCACCTGAAATCTGCGCTCTGATGCAGAAGTCCACAAGCATAAGGTTCCTGTGCCCTGTTTGCCAGACAACAGAGCCGACGTGAGAGGCGGCTGCAAATAAATGAGATCATGGGACTACGATTTGGCTCGGAACAGTCCTTGTCATTGTGGTCATCGTCGTCGAACCAGTCGTCATGTTACCATTATGTTGCGCCGTCATCGGCACCATCTGCACCCAAGAATGACAATGACGTGAGTAGCGACAGCGGTAAGCAGCGCAACAGTGACGGCCGTAGAGCTGGTAGTCTTCGAAGGCCGGCGTGATCCCGCAGCACAAACTGCAGAGTTTTGGCGGTGCCACGGCTGTGATTTAGCAAAAATAGAAGGGTCACGACCTTCGGATGCGGCCTTAGGGTTTGAGGGTTTCAGCTCTACAGTGGCTAAGACTAGCTACGCTGATCACGCCGACACTTCCCAGGAAAGAGTGCGATTGAGTGCACGTGCAGCTTTAGCGAAGCTCGATGCACTTGGGCTTTTTTTATTCGAGGACGGTGTCTTTTGTCTTTGGTGGCAGACTTGCGAGCTCAGTTTTGTACCACACTCGGGGTAGGATGGCCCTTTGAGGCTCCTGGTCAGCTCTGTCCGAAGCTGGCGAAGCCACGAATCT